CTACTGATTTATTTTGGGAGATACATTTTATCAGGTCAACTGTTCTGATCTTAGTTTCTGAGTTTTTATCACGATGAGGTCTTGAACATTACTAAGTGATTTTTTTTCCTCTATCTACAGAATCTATCACATGAATTTTCTCCTGTATTCTGCTAATGTGGTGAATTACATTTACAGGTATTCTACATTAAATCACTTTTGCATTTCTGGAATAAACAGATTGGTAATTGAGTTTTATCTGTAAAGAATATACTTACAAATTCAGATTTCCAATAATTCTGTTTGAGATTTTGACATGTATGTTAATGAATGATATAGGTTTATAATTTTCTTCACATACTCTTTTGGTATTAGGGTTATACTGGCCTTAGAATGATTTGGAGAAATAGTTCTTTTTCTATTATCTTGAAGAGTGGATCCTTGAAAGTTTAGTTTAAGAGAATCTGGCTCTAAAACCATCTGGATTAGGTATTTTCTCCACAGTAAGATTTTAAACTACTAATTACATATCTGTAATACGTATAATATTATTCAGGCTTCCTACAAGTTTTGGTGAATTCTATTTTTCTAAAAATTTCTCAATTTCTTCTAAGCTTTCAAATTTACTGCTACAAAGTTCATCGTACTATTCTTAGTCTATCCAATCTTTAATGTACTTGTGGCTGTATACACTTCGTGGCTGTATACACTTCTATATGTCAGTATTATCTATTTGTGCCTTGCCTTTATTTTTTTGTTCACTATCCAGTGGATTGCCTATTTTTCTTAATCTTTTCAAAGTATCACCTTCTGATTTCTTTGATCCTCTCTATCCTGTTTTCTAACTTACTGAGTTTTGCTCTTATCTTTCCTAATTCTAATTTTTATTCCCTTATTTTCCTTATTTTAATGTTCCTTTTCCATTTTAAGTTAAATGCATGGCTTCTCCATTTTCAAGTTTTCTTCTTTTCTAATGTACGTATTTTATAAAGATAAATTTCCCTTTACCAATTTCACTCCAATCCGTCAAATTCTGATTGGTGGCATTCTCAAAACTGGTAAGTTATGAGCATTTTAGACCTCAATTGTAATTTCTTTTTTGTCTTACTGGTAATTTAGAAGGATGAATAATTTTAAATGCATGGATTTTTAAATTTTTTATATTTTTTCTGGTCTGTAGGATATTGATTCTTTGAAATGTGTTAACCTGTGCTCTGCAGCCTAGTCCATGCTCAGTTTTTGTGTGTTTGTGTATTCCACAAACTGGACTGTTCATTAAACCAGGCTTAAATCAGTTGTTCAAATCTGCTAAAGACAGATGAAGTTCTTATATCCATGAATTACAGGCAGTTGAGAAAAGTATTAAAAAGTTTCCCAAAATGATAGTAAATTTGTCAATATTCTCTAGTTTCGTTACATTTTGACTTACATATTTTGAGTCTATTTTATTAGATGCATTCAAATTTAAAACTGTTACATTTTACTGGTAAACTGGACTTACTACATACTGATCCCTCATTCTCGTCAATAATGAAGTCTACTTTGCTAATGCTAATGTAACTGTTCCATTTTTGTTTAGTTTGCATTTGCTTGAAATACCACTGTCTATCCTTTTATTTTCAGTCTGTATACCTATGCTTCAAGTTCATCTTTTGTAAAACACATTTAACTTAAGAAAATTCCAACTGATTTGAAGCTTTGATTTTTATAAGCAGAGATTAGGCAATTATATTTATTACAGGACTTGTTCCATATTACTTTTACCCATTTCTTTTTTTTCCCCGTTTTAATGATTTTTTCTCTTTCTTTACTTTTATTTGGATTGACTGTAAATATCTTTTTCCATGTCTTAATTCCTTTTTTCCTCCTCTACAGGTCTCTAGTACATATACTCTTTATTCTTATGTCAAAAGTTAACTTTGAACCCTCTCCCAAACAATATAATTCAACTTTGATCTTCCCCCTTTCAACTTAAATACCATTGCTGTCCACTGTTTAGTTCTGTCCCCTCACTTTTACTTTTTTTTTTTTTAAGTGTATTTATTTTGAGAGAGAGAGAGAAAGAGCAGGGAGGAGCAGACAGAGAAAGAGACAGAGAGAGAGAGAAAGAGAGAGAATCCCAAGCAGGCTATGTGCTGTCAGTGCAGAGCCCAATGAGGGGCTTGATCTTCTGAACCTTGAGATCATGACTTGAGTAGAAACCAAGCATTAGACACCCAACCAAACGAGCCACCCAGGCACCCCAACTTCTATTTTTTTTTAATGAATTACTGGGCTTTATTACTGTAGGGTATCAATGCAAGTAGTTGATGACCTCCACATCACATATCTATATATCTCTATCTCAATCTCTATATATCTCTATATCTATCTATATCTAATTACAGTCCAGGATCTTTTAAACTTAAATATCAAAGTGTCTACTTACCATCTACACTGTATGTCTAAATAGCACTTAAAACTTTCAAAAAAAGTTTTTACTTCCCATTCCTCTCCCACACCTTCTCATCTCAGTCAGTACAGTAATAACTACCTAAGGCTCAAACCAAAAAAACCTGCCATAACTGATTCCTCACTCTCCCTCATCTCACACCCAATCTACCTTATTACTGATCACTCAAAAACATGCTCAAACTTGTTTACTTTTTTTAATCCTCACTACCATCCCCCAGTCTAATACCCTAGGCCAACCTTCCCCTCTTTCGTACTTCAATCTCCACAAAGCAACTAGAGTGATCTTATATAAATGTGTGGCAATTAACCCTTCACTTAAAATCTCCCTGCTCTATGAATAAATTCCAGAGGCTATCTATCCTGCATAGTTTGGTATCTACGCACCTCATCTCATGTCACTCTTCCTTTCACTCATTCACTTCAGTCCCACTACCTTCATACATGGCAAGCCTTTTCATTTTCAGTATCTCTGCTCTTACCTTTCCTTATGCCTAGAGAGCGCTTCCTCAACCACTAATTCTCATCTTTTAGAGCCCAGCTCAAAAGTCAGTTCCTGAGATAAGTAGCCCCTGGCCACTCTAATGTAGGCCCTACCAGTTACCTTCTATGACACAAGAGTTTGCTTTCCTTTACCGTAACCATCGCAGTTTATAATTTAGCATGTTTGTATTTTGTTTAATATCTGCGTCTCCCACCACATTGTGAGCTTCAGGAGGGAATCTTAGTTTGTCTTGTTCATGGATATAATCATGGGATCCAGCACAACGCTTGGTACATATTAAATGCTCAATAAATATATGTTGAATGAATAATTACATCACAAATTATATATGAAAAATTTACTAATAGTAAACTAATAGTGATTCAAGAAGATCAAACATAAAATCACAAAAGAAAAATAAACACCATTTCAATCACTGTCAATATCAATTATGTTTGTAAACTTCTTTCTTTACAGATTTTCTAATGTATTTTATTTCTTACAGAATTAATTTCAAGCTGGAAACTTAAACCTTTGAGAACAAACTTTACCATTAGTCCAAGTTGAAAGAGTTAAGAAAACCCATTTACCAAAATAGATTCCATGAGAGACTAAAAATTAGAACCAACCAATTATCAGGAAAAAAAATTTAAATTAACAAAGACAAACTACCTCGGAAAACACAAAGCCAAGGTTTCACAATACCAACAACCTTTAAAAGAATAAGCTGTTTAAATTTTTAAACAACCTTTAAAGGAATAAATAAACCAAACATCAAAGGGTTAAAAAAAAGCACACATTGTTTTAGCAAAGCAAGTATTAAACTGTTTTTGAGACAAAAAATGAGACAATCTGCACATATGCATCTCAACATAAAAATCCTATGTCAAATATTAGCAAGCAGAATCCAGCAGCTCAAACATTTCATGACTATATGATCATGTTTATGTCAAGAAGCAAGGGTAAGTGGCTATTAGGAAATCTAATAATAAAATAATTCCTCATGATCATTAGGTCAAAGGTGAAAAATCACGATGATCATTTCCACTGACACTAAAAAAACTTTAATAAAATTTAACAAACATTCTTGCTAGAAACCTATAAAATAGTAACGGGGGATATTTCCTTAGTGTGATTTAGAAGAAAACAAATTGTGTGTGTGTGTGTATAAAATCAACCTAAAAGCCAGAATCATTCTTACTTGGGAAATATTAGAGCAAGGGTTGTGAACCCATGGGTTATTTCCAGCCTGCCACCTGTTTTTATAAATAAAATTCTACTGGAAGACAGCCACACTCATTCATTTATATACTGTCTATGACTACTTTCACACTACAACACTGGAGATGAGTAGCTGCAATAGACACTGGCATATGAACTGAAAACACCATCCAGCCCTTCACAGTGTAAGTTTGACAACCCCTGTAGTAGAGCATTCTGATTAAAACCAAGAAAAGACAAAGGTGTTTACCATCAATCACTGATTTCAGAAATAACATCTGATGCGATTAGGCAAATATTAAAACTTCAACATTTGTAACTTTCTCTGTTTCTGTGAATAAATCACTGATTTCCATCTTGAGGCTGCCCTTTCTCCATTGTTTGGCAATGGCAGCTCTAAACTCATGCCTAACTCAACCAAAAGAATCTTTTAAATGCCCTAATTTTCTTTAAAGCAAAGTAGAAATGTATACTGTATCTCAATAAAAGATAATTAAATTACTAAAATTTTCAATTTAATTGTTCTTTGTAAAACACCAAAAGCACTGGGGTGCATTGATCTCACGGTTCGTGGGTTCAAGCCGCATGTCAGGCTCTGTGCTGACAGCTCAGAGCCTGCAGTCTGCCTCAGATTCTGTGTCTCCCTCTCTCTCTGCCCCTCCCCCGCTCACACTCTCTCTCTTTCTGAAAAATAAACACTAAAACAAACAAACAAAACACCAAAAACATAATGAAAGAACTCAGGACTTACTGGTCCTACATAGGGCTTGTATATGGGATCAACAGCATATCCAACATTTGGAAGTGACGTATACCATTCTTGTACAATACATATAAATAAACTTCACTGTTAAACAAAACATACCCTTCCTGAAGAGATAATTCTTGGTTTTCTTCTTCAGGACCACTGCTATCACTCTGTAGTTCAGGTTCATTCTCATCTTTTCCTGGCAAAGTCTCCCAGCTTTCATCACTTGACGACTGATCTTTTTCAGTACCAGAAAATCGATGAGGCAAAGAAGCAGACCACTCTCCATCACTGCATTCTGAACTGCAAATTCAGAATAGAAAGAAAATAAATTGTCATTATAATCGTCATTATATGTGCATTTACCATTTGAAGACATCGTGGTATCGAATGGATGACTGATGCCACACGATTCATCAGGTGCTAATTCAATTTAAAAAATATTTTAAAATAAATACAGAAATAAATACATTCAGCAGAATGTAACTTTTTCAAATGAATATAGCACATGGCAAGTTACAGAATTATCGATTTATGATTTTCTTCACTAAAGTAAGTAATTCCATGTTGCTTAGAGGTTCTTCATTTATTAGACATATTTCTAAATAAAAATTTAAATATAATTTGGCAACCATAAATTAAATGCTCTGGAATAAATAATAATAGATTTATTACTCATCTGACCTGACTAAAACAACTTTCTAATTACATATTGACAATGGAAATCCTATCCTCTATGAATAAATTTCTATTACCATCTTTTAAAAGCTTAACTATTTTTTCCTTCCTTTTTTACACAAGATTTTAAAAGGAAATTCAAATTCATAAAAAGCAGCAGAGACAAATCTTTACTGAAGTCCTCTGGTAGGACTATGAACACAAAATAAATTTCAATTCAAGAGAACATTTAGATAAGGAACCAAAGGGATGATAACAGGGTTAATGAAGAACCTCAGAAAATGACTTGGTTGTATTTAACTTTGGTTAATTTGGTTTCATTTAATGACTCTTTAAGTACTAGTCATCTTGTACTACAAAGGTTAAAATATTATTAATGGTGAAAATAAATCTTAAATGCCCCTTCCAACCGTATCAACCATTCTGGTCAAGAATCCCCTTAAAAACTTCCCTTTGTGCCTTGATTTTTGAGAAACAAAAAATTAATAAATTTTAGTTTCTGAAAGAAGTGATAATTGGTAAGAAATTACCTTTTCTTTATGATGATATATTACTAATGGTTATATTATTGATATATTAACTAGTCTATAATGAGTTCCTCCTTCTCTGAACAGATGAATCCAGGAGATCAAGATGCTATTAAGAAAAAGCGGCAGTAATGTAAGCTCTGAGGAGTTAGAAGTAAAAAAAAAAAAAAAAAAAAAAAAAAAAAAAAAAAAAAAAAAAAAAAAAAAAAAAAAAAAAAAAAATCAACTTCCAATTGTCAGTAAATGATGGGCAGCAGGTCACATTCTTGAGAAGGAATTTTACATAGCTCTGGCATAGCAAGTAAAAGGTGTTCCTTCAGTTGGATAGAAGCCCAATTGCTTATATTTTGTAAAATTTTCTCTAACCCAAAAAACAATCTAAGATCAAATAAATCAGTTCTATACTTGCTCCAGTATAAAAACGTAACATAGAAAATAGTTTAAAAAGACTTTCTGAATGAAGTTTCCTGGCTATGAAACCTCTCAATTTTATTTAAAAAAATTTTTTTAATGTTTATTTATTTTTGAGAGAGACAGAGCACAAATGGGGGAGGGGCAGAGAGAAGAGGGAGACACAGAATCTCAAGCAGGCTCCTGGCTCTGTCAGCACAGAGCCTGATGCGGGGCACGAACTCACAAACCGTGAGATCATGACATGAGGCGAAGTTGGATGCCCAACCGAATGGCCATCCAGGCACCCCAAAACATCAGGGGTAAGCTCTTACTTTTTTGTTTTAACATATATTTATTTTTGAGAGAGTGAGAGAGTGCAAGCCAGGTAGGGGTAGACAGAGGGGGAGATTGAGGATCTGAAGCGGGCTCTGCACGGACAGCACGGAGCCTGATGCAGGGCTCCAACTCATGAACTAAATAAACCTTGAGATCATGACCTGAGCTGAAGTCCGAGGCTTAACTGACTGAGCCACCCAGGCGCGCCTTAGACTATCATCTTTAAAGCTAAATTACCAGCTCCAATTTTGACATCTTTAACAATTCAGCTAAAATTTATTAATTTGTAGCAATTTTACTTAAACAAAAACCTCATATTTTAAACTTTTTATGATCCTGTCCAGAAAAACAACACCTAAAAAGTTTGTAATATTTTTTTTTTTTGCTTAATGAAATAACTGATGGAGTATTTACAAATTTTAATATAAAAAGCATGCTTATGATCAATAGTCAATATATTTAAGAAGCCTATGTCACAGACTGGTGACATAGCCTTTCAGACAAATTTGGTCCTTCTACCTGTTTTTTTATGGTCAGTGAGTTACAATTTTTTTTTTTACAACTTTATCTTTAATTTTGCCTCTTAGCAAAATCTAAAATATTTACTAATCTGGTCCTTTAGGAAAAAAGTCTGCAGATCTCTGGCCTGTATTATTACTACTCATTATACATAACCTTCACCTCTAAGTAGCTAACTTTTAATATAACCTCAGCCCTGACCACTTGGCTTTCATAATCACTAACTGTGCACCAAACATTTTTAGATTTTCACCCTTCTTTTCAAAAGTTATAAAGCAAAACTCATCTGACAGGTAACTCCTTTCTTGAGTTTCTTTCTAAGGGTATTTCCCTACTCCCAAGGTGAAAATCACAGGTCTTTGACTCCTCACAAAACCCCATGTTTAAGTCCTTTTTATTTTCCATTCCTTCTGTAAAATGAATTTTTCTCCATTTCTCCTAAAAACCCTGGCTCAAGTATTTTCCTCTAAACCTACACCTAGACAGTCAATTATTAATCATTGTCCCTAAGTTTAATCTCACTCAATTCACTTAAAAGATGCATTCTGGGGCGCCTCGGTGGCTCAGTCGGTTAAGCGTCCAACTTCGGCTCAGGTCATGACCTCACAGTTTGTGAGTTCGAGCCCCGAGTTGGGCTCTGTGCTGACAGCTGAGAGCCTGGTTCGGATTCTGTGTCTCCCTCTCTCTCTGCCCCTCCCCCTGCTTGCGCTTTGTTTCTTTCTCTCAAAAATAAATAAATGTTAAAAAAAAATTAAAAAAATGTATTCTGAATTATCGCTATTGCTTCAATTTATATCAAATTATTCCAAATCCTTCACTTTTTTCCTAAACCAGTATTTCACAAAATTCAGCCATCTGCCTAATGCCCTCACAATTTTTGCTCCAGGTGTCCACTAATGCTGTGTCTTGAGGTTCAGTAGTTGAGGACACAGGTTCTGGATTCAGTCTGCCTGGTTGTGAATACACCACTTACTAAAGCTGTGACGTTACTTAACCTTTCTGTGCCTTTATCACCTCACACACCAGGTGTATTTGATAGTAGTATCTAATAACTCCCTGAGTTCATATAAGAAGCAAATGAGTTAATATACACAAAATGTTTTAACAGTGTCTGATAAATGATAACCCATCAATAACTGTTAGCAAATCATTTTTAATATTTTTTTAATTTAAATGCTATATTTCCTTTTCAGATCTACAAAGGTATTTAAGTGAACAATGTAGATAAAATGTTTAGCACAATTTTTGGAAAATGGTAAAGGTGACAGTTACTTTATTATATAAGCTGTGTGCTTAGACATTTCAATTGGATTTCCAACAGCACACCACCATTTTTCTTTCTTCTCTACCACAGAAAATCTACTCTAAATCCTTGGTTTGTCTTACTGAATGGAAATATCAGCTTTCTGGTCACCCATCAACTTTAGTTTTAGTGTCTCTTTATACCAGGGGTCAGCAAACTATGCCCTGACCCATGAGCCAACTCTGGCCACCTGTCTGTTTTTAAGTGGCCTGGAAGCTAAGAATGTTTTTATTTTGTTTTGTTTTGTTGCATTTTTAAGTGGTTATAGAAATACCTATATAATACCCTTGATTTTGCCTTTCAGTCCACAAAGCCTAAAATATTTGCAGACCCCTGTGGTCCATCCAGCGAAGACACAGCAAAGAAAAACCAAACACAGGTAAATGGAAGAGATATCATGGAGCAGGAAAGGGTGAGCAAATTGCTCAGTAGTAGCACTAAAGTAAAACAAACAAACAAAAAAACAAAAAATGGTACCAAGAAAAGTCAATTGGATTTGAGAAACAGGAGGTCACTGTTCACATTATAGAATATACAAAATACTACTAGGAGTTAAGATTTCAATGCATTTAAAAGTGCAGAGTGCAGAAATAGAGTGGGTATAGGACATTTATTCTGAGAATTCAACAATGGAAAAGAAAACAAACAGGCAATTGGTTAAAGGAAAAGCAAAATCAAGTAAAGGTTTCCCCTCAGGATTTAGAAAAATTACAGAATGTGGTAGAAGGAAGCAACTTTGGCATAAGAATAATAAATTCAGGGGTCAGATATGACTACAGATGCAGAATGAGAAAAGTCACCACCCTTCACTGAAAAACAAATTAAAAACAGAAATGGATACTAACGTATCATAATATGGAGAAGAGGAAAACAAGAAAGTTCAGATTTAATTATTTTACTATCTCTAAGAAAGCAAGAAACAAAGTTATCTACTAAGGGTGACAGGAGTATATGGAACTGAAAGCAGAAAGAGAAAAGATTTAAAAATAACTTTTCAAGGAGAATAAGCAACAGAATAAATAGCACAAAACAATCATGGAATAGTGAGAACCCTTGTCCTGGAATATAAATGCAAATTAGTTAAACATTTTTAAATTCTCAAGTACCACTTTGATTTTTATACAGTTTTTCAATAGGATTGTCTCCTATTAGCATTTAGAGCTGTATTCAAAAGCAGACAACTATTAACTTACTCAAATGTTACATTTCACACATTCAACTGTGAACAAAAAACCCACCTCTTTTCACATATTGGATACAATTACATATGATTTCTAGACAAAATAATTTATGTAGTATAAATCTTAAGTAGAAATAAGATACAGAAGTAAAAGCATCCAAAAGCAAGCTCTTATTCCTCAAATCCCCCAAGGAACTGGTTTGTTAGTCTTCCCTGGCATTTTCACATTGATAAAAAATCAACTATATAGAAGCTAAGAGAAAAGTGAATTTTAGATAATTTTGTTATCTGAGGATCAAAACCACCTTTTGAATTTTATTGAAAATACTCTGGATGGACATTATGTTAAGATACATCATATCTGCATTTTCAGACAGTATACTGAACATAATCTAAGCAGTCTGGGACATTTTACCCCTATTAACAGTGAACTGTTACAATACAGTGATACAAATGGTAGTTGTTCAAATCCATAAGGCTGCTTAATTTAGCAAAGTCCAGATGGTTCTTTCTGAATTGTGCCTGCCTTTTACAATTTTCCGGTCTTTTCCCTAAACATCAGAATATTGTAATCTATAACCCCTTAAAATGCCTGAGAACAAAGCTATTTATGCCTAATATACTCCTTCTAACTTTTATGAACTTGGAAACAAGATAAAAAGCTAAAATGTTAAAGCATATGCTTTCAGATCTTTGCTTTGGCTGCTCATAGTTGCTTTATTTGTTGGGAATACATGGATATCAAAGGAGCTCCTTCTTCATGGCTCTCAACTAACTTATATAGAAGAGGAAAGAAACTTAATTCAGTCTCATGATAATTATCTGTATATTCCATCTTCCTCATAAGGCTGGTGAACAGCCAGGGAACGGGGATCATTATTATTTGCATTTACAGAGTACCTGGGACAAAGTCTGACATTTAGAAGGATTTCAATAAATCCTTTTTGAATATATCAAACTGAAATCAACTAATTGGCTAATATTCCTTTTATTTTCCCAACATCATCAATAACAAAAAGTTGTCCTGACATTTTTATCTCAGGTAAGGTTTTTAACTTTTATTCAATGTCAAAAGCTCTGAAAGAAACCTCAAGTGGTATAAGAAATAGTCAGCGGATGGTATGCCTCTTCCTTCAAACAGTTAGGTCCAAGGTTAAAATGTGCTGGCATGGTTAAAAGGTTCTTTTAAACTCAAGATCTTGTCCTCAAACAGTCATTAAAGTTCTCAGGGTATATTTCAAAAGAGCAGGATGTTAACCTTAGCTCTTTGGTCTAATTCCAAGTCTGGTAATTACATACTGCCTATTAAAATTCCCCTCACAATTCTAATTTAATAAGGTGGTGTTCAGTTACTATCAAACAGCTCAGAGCAATTCTACCAGCTGCAATGTTTATTCCATAAAGTGTAATGTTTCAGGTATGATTAAGTGATCATTTAAAAGTTTTCAGGAAGAAATGGATCATGCATTCATTCAAATACTTTTCACTTTTAAAGAAAGTATGAGCTATACATATTTTTGAACTGTATTTTTTAAAAGTGGCTAAAATTCCTATAACTAAAAACGTCGCAGTGATTTTAGTTATGTTCTGGGTAAGAGGGTTCTATTTGCAGCTATTATAATACAAACATGGCAAGAAAAATTTTCAAGTAAAGCATCTTTAAGTTTTACAAAGCAGAGAAAACTCAGAAAGAATTTTACAGACTCAAGGGAAAGGATGTTTATACTTTCCTTCTCAAGACACTTATTGTAGAATCACTATTTCCCCATTTTTGCAATCTGCTATTATCAGAACTCAGCCAAAGTATAGTAAAACATCTAGTAGATGAACAAGTGGCAAAATGAAACTAAGTTGGATAGTATGGTTATTAAACTTCAACCTTTATCTGAAACCATATTAAAAGGCATTCTGGCAATTGTGATCCTTTGCAGGGAGCTGAGAGTAGAGGAACTGGAAACAGTAGCATAGAAATAGAATTACTCCTCAAAATTGTCCAGACTACTGAAGTGAGGTCCTAAACATATCTCAAGGCTTGCAGATGCAAATGTAGAACCATTATCCTTGAGAAGTTATTCTTGTGATGGTAGTTTTCAAAAAACAAAAACAAAACAAAAAACCCTAAGTATTTCTGGTATTTCAATGTGTCTTAAAGACTGCCCCAGGGGTGCCTGGGTGCTTCAGTCAGTTAAGCATCCCACTTCAGCTCAGGTCATGATCTCAAGGTTCCTGGGCTCGAGCCCCACATCAGGCTCTGTGCTGACAGCTCAGTCTGGAGCTTGCTTCAGATCCTGTGTCTCTGACTCTCTCTGCCCATTGCCCGCTCATGCTCAGTTTCTCTCTCTCTCTCTCTCAAAAATAAATACACATTAAAAAATTTTTTTTACAAAGAGGTGCCTGCGTGGCTCAGTCAGTTAAGCATCCAACTTTGGCTCGGGTCATGATCTTGCAGTTCATGGGTTCAAGCCCTGTGTTGGGCTCTGTGCTGACAGCTTAGAGCCTCGAGCCTGCTTCGGATTCTGTGTCTCCCTCTCTCTGCCCCTGCCTCACTCATGCTGTCTCTCAAAAATAAATGGAGAAAAAAAGAGAAGATTGCTCCAAAATTAGTTCCATCTTTTAAGCACACCCTAACTTCAGGCTCTTTAAGTCAATACAGAACTAAAAAGTCAAAAGAAAAAAAAGTTTCCATTAACTGTGTTTTTCTCATCTGTATATTGTTCGTAAAAACCTATCATTGTTTAGAATATTGACATATCACTTAAGGAGACAAATTATAAATAAACATACTAAAACAATACCCTATAACTGTTAAAAGTCCAACCGTCATTCCAGGCAAATAAAATGCTAATGCTACTGACCAGAAAAAAAAAAAAAAAAAAAAAAAAAAAAAAAAAAAAAAAAAAAAAAAAAAAAAACCAACAACTTCAAAACCAAGAGCCAAGAAAATTACTCTTGAGGTTACAATGCAAAAATTTCATCAACTGAATTAGATGACATTAGGCCTGACTATAAAACGCACACACAAAAAAGAGGTTTTTATTATTTTTGATCAGTGGTGCCAATGATGAAGGAATGGCCAAATTAAATTACTTCCTTCAGGAAAGCAGAAATGTAACTGTGGGAAAAAAATCTTATACTTTCAAAAAGGTAAGTTATCTAAGATTAAAAATTGATGTTATTATTTTTTTCAATAGTAATCTAGAGGTATACCAAAGGTTTACAATCAAATCCAAAAATCTTAGGACTGAGTATGTTTTGGAATTCAGATTTTTTTCTCCGAGATTTACAAATACTACTTAATAATTCCCAGTGGGGTCCAAGTCAAAAACTCAGTAATCAAACACTTTGATATTTCTGCAGCAAACTGTTATGACTGCTTCAAAAAAAGGCCTTGTATTAGTTCAGATCCAGATCTGCATCAAATTAAGTTAACACCAATTTAGGTTTTGTTGTCAATTTCCATTTTAAGAATTTTGTGGACCTTAACTGAAAAAACAGAATTAAGTTAGGCCAAAGTTCTTAACTCATTTTACCCTTAAGCTTAAAAAATAGTAGGTTATATAAATATTGTCTGCCAACCCTTGAAGTTTACAAACTTAAAAAGACAGTAGAAATTACGTTTCATTTGTTTCTACAAGTCACTTACACTGTATTATAGAAGTTTTATCCATCTGCCCAAAGAAACCAGATATATTTTATTAATTTTATGATGTGAAATAAAATACATAAAATGTATTCATATTCAAAAGGAAAAACTTCTTTTGTAGTACTTTCTAGTTGAAAAAAGTAACCGTATTTCTACAAGTTAATAAAATCGTGAAACTGCACTGTAACTGAGCATAGGCAGTTTCAACTAGCTCAAAAGGTTATGTGAAAGTTTGGACTCTAGGGTAATGAAAAGAAGATGGACAAAGAAATTTTCCATTTCTCTCTTCTTTCTATGGTCTTACAGTTTGGGGGAAAAAAAGGATTCTATGTAAGAAGAACCAGAATGCTTATTTAAGAAAGGTTGTATGTTCTCTTAAAAACTGTAAATTTGGACTGGGCAGTAAGGAGATATGCAAATTCCAGCTCCAAAATTTACTAGCTTTGTGACTTTGAGAAATTAACTCTCTTGTGCTTCAGTTTCCTCATCTATAAACAGGGCAAATAATAATATACACCACATAGAGTTGTGACCAAAAATCAAATGCTAAATAAAAATAGGTGAAAACAAACAAAAAAACACAAGTGACAAAAGGAGCAACAGGAGGAACAGAGAAACAGGTGACATTAATAAATATTAACAAAGTTAATCCAATATTATCAAAATTTGCTGTGATCTTACTTTTTAAACCCAGAATGGGTTAACATAATTTTTTTTAAAATACAATAAATGTTTCCCTGCATTTTATTACCTGAAATACTATGAACTAAAATAATTAATATCTGTATCCTTTGTAATAACTAATTATCATTATCTGAACTTACAATTTCTATAAACTCCTAAAATGCTTCAAAGAAAGTTTCTGTGAAAAACTAACCAGTAGTTTGCATGTATGATTAGCATTCAGTAAATAGGCATATTTGCTAAGTCAAAATATCTAATTCCCTGACCATGTCAGAGCCCATCCATCCAACATAATGGTACCAGAAATAAACCACCTTGCTTATTACACAATCTGACAAAGCACTGCATGAAATCTTACCTATCTTCATCTTTGTCATACAGTTGGTAATAATCTCCACAACCATTCCAAAAGGTGTTATCCACAACTTCTTGCCTTCCTGCTGTGGCTCCACTTTCTGCTGTAATTTGGTTATGTTCTGTTTCCCTGTGTGTAACTCTTGAGTAAGGTGGATCCAAGAACATGCAGTCATGTTCTCCATCGTAGTCATCACATTTTATTAAGAGGTCATCTGAGCCATTTTCCTCAACTTCCAAAGCCTCCCTCCACCTCTGAACACTTCTTTGTTTAGCCTCATGCCTATTAAAACCTGTTTCTTGGTCCACCTGGCTTGAACTTATCAATTTCCTAACTTTGGGTCTCACTACCTGTTCAGGAGAACTTCCCTGGTTCTTGTTCTTATCACTAGTATTTTGTTCACTGCAAATATGCCCAGGAGCACACACTGAATCTTCAGTTGCATTTTCTCTCTGACTCTCCTGGCTAGTATTATTTTCTTGTTTGTTTCTAACAACGTCATCTTCAGAAGAGGAGCTCTGAAATTCCTGATTGCTCTGATTGACAAACTCAGTATCACCAGTAGAACTTTTGACTAACGGTGCTGAATCTAACTCTTCAAATTCATCTCTTACTTCACAGTTAAAAGAGGGAACTGGTGGTGAAAGACCAGTGTATGCCTCTACCTCTCCATTTGCCAACTCAAATACTGTATTGCTCAGTGCTTCCTGATATCCACCACCTTCCACAACTTCTGCAGAAAGCTGAAGACGGTCATTGGCCTCTCTGTGTGTACCATCTGGGTCGTAAGAGTCAGTATGAACCAATGACATTCCATTTTGTACACTTGAAGCATCACAAGCTTCTGGAGTATATTCTCCCTCAGGGTGATTATGAAGATTTGTACTGCTTCCTAAAGTCTCCCTGCCTTCCTCACTATGATGTACTGCAGCAAAGGATGGACTGCTCTCAATGGTTTGATTTAATGTTGTATCACAAATGGGAATTTCTGTTTCACTTTTTTCAAACGAAGGGTCGTTGGGTAAAGAAGAATGAACTTGATCCAATGGACTGGAACCTTCATAGAGAACAAAGAAAACATTTTTGGAAACATTAATTTTAGATACAATTTTATTTAATAATGACTATTTAAATAGATATTATGCCAATCATTACTCACTTGAATATGAGTGAATTTCTGACAGGTACTTCTATGCCCCTGAACTTAACTGAGAGAGCCCACTGGTCACCCTATGAGTTCATTTATGCCATTGTATAGCCATTCAATATCTTCTCTCAGATGTCTTTTAGAAGTCTTTTAGCTAACTGCTAATACCTAAAACATTCTGTTAAAGACATTAAAAGGAGAGGCTACTGAAAAACTACACAGTGAGAGGCATAAGTCAAGTCATAGGGTAACCAATGTGCCCTTCTACTTGTTAAGGTGCACAATTCAAACTTCATTTCTTTTATTATGTGCAAGTAAAAAAACTTCACAAGTACTTTTGATAGATAAAGGAACAGGTTACACATCTAACAGAAATGAAACTCTATTGTGTTTGATGTCAATTCAGAAAATTGTATCTCAGTCTCTAGATATATTAGATTTCTACACCAAAATGGATTTTTTAATACACCTATAATGAGTTACCTTTACATTATGTTACAGCTATGATTGCAAAACAACAAAAAAGTCAACATGTTGACTCTGCCATAGTTTGTCAGAATCTTGAGAAAAGAATAAAATCAGATCTGTTTTATAAATCACTTTAAGCCTATCTTTTATCACTACTAATGTAATAATAAATAATGAAGACATCTGAGATTTGCTGGAACAAAAATTTATAAAAGAGCAGTCTTGTCATATCACAGAAAGGCTTCTTTAACAGAGTGAACTCATTAACTAATAATTCAGATTCTTACTTATAAATGACAGTAAAAATAATTTACAATTAGCAAATTTTCTCAAGACCAGAAGACTACACTCTAGTCCAAAGATGTGTAATTACTACCTGGATATCTGCAAAGTACTTTTTTTTTTTTAAGCTTATTTATTTACGTTTTGAGAGTCAGAGAAAGCAGGAGTTGGGGAAGGGCAGAGAGAGAGGAAAAGAGAGAGAATCCCAAGTAGCGTGGAGCCCAATGTGGGGCTCAAACCCACAAACCATGAGATTGTGACCTGAGCTGAAGTGATGCTTAACTGACTGAACCACCAAGGCGCCCAATGCAAAATACTTTTTCAAACTACTGAATAAGAGATTTTAATTAAATAACTATTACTCGACACTTGTATTTCATAAAATGGTTTTAAGAAATTAAATTAGCCAAGCTAAATTATTTAGGGATACAATTAACACAAGAAAGCTATTAAACATAATATGCAGGGAAAAATATATTCAGTTCACATTAAAAAGTTTTTGATTGAAAAATAAATCTCCACTAGCAGAAGGATGTCATGATACAGTTATATTTTAACAACTGGCTGTATTCTATTTTCTTCCATGTTTAAATGTATATATCGTTCATATTAAATTTAATAAAAATATCAGAATAGAATTTCTTGATAGGATATGTATATTTGTATTCATAGACACATAAAACCCACACATAATTTCTAATATTATAAGATCAATTCCTACATGCTTATTAATAGCTCTTATATAACTCCATGTTGCATACCTGAGGAATTTTCCTTTGGAACATCATCTAGTTCCAACACTTCATAGTCATCACCAGCCCGACCTAAACTTCTTTCATGCCTGGTCATACATGGTTTAAAACTGACATATGCATGTCTTCTTCCATATCTCCTGCCTGTGATTGTCTGATATCCTCCTGCTGGTTTGGGCCAGGCAGCCTTGCTGGATTCTTGATCCATTACTGAAAAACAGAGTTAAAAATAAGAGAGGCATGAAATGACCTTTACTCCAGTGACCAGTAGAGGTAATGTTTAAACATATATGCTATTGCTTGCCAGATCATCTGCTACTGAACATTACATGCACCTTACTAACATTGTAAGTGTAAACATGAATATTAGGTTATGAGAGTTAATTGGCCTCTTTACCCCCCAAAATAGCTTTTAAAGTTTGGCACTTTTAAGATGTCTCAGAGTTTTATAATATAACGTACCCAAAATGATTTTTCATATGCCAAATTCATAAGTCATACTGCAAAAGCTCATTAAGAATTAGACAATGATCCTCCAAATTATCTAAGTAAAGTACCTTATGTATAAATGCTTAACACATATTTGCTAGATTAATTATTAGCATATTACATTAGCACAATTACATGTGTGTAATCTGCACAATTACATTAATTGTGAATACATTTCTATCCAAGGTAACATGCAACTTCTTTAAATGGCATCTGTACTATCAGGAAGAAATAACTGGACCATAATAAAACATCCCAAAGACTAGGGTCAGATAAAATTATCCACAAGAAAACAGCGATGAGCCAAGTCAAAGACATGCTACCTCACCTTTCAAAACTACAGTAAACATTATGGTAGCAAAACCCATCAACACTTTAACAACTATTTAAATACTAAGTTCTGACAGCTGAGGGATACACAGTAGTAAACAGTAGCACCTGTAACTAAGTAGAACATTACCATATCTCTCTCTATATATATAAAAGTGTAAGTTTCTTTAATCAATGATATTTTACATATACTATACAAGAACTAAACATAGTATTTAAAAAACAATTTTTAATGTTATTTTTGAGAGAGATATAGCATGAGTGGCGAAGGGCAGCGAGAGGGAGAGACACAGCAGGCTCCAGGCTCTGAGATGTCAGCACAGAGCCCAATGCAGGGCTTTAACCCACTAACTGTGAGATCAGGACTTGAACCGCCATTTGGGATGCTTAACTCACTGAGCCACCCAGACACCCCTAAACAAAGTCTTATCTCACAGTATATAAAATAGTCAGTTAATGGAAAAGTTACATATTTTTGTTTTACTGCATTAAATAAGTAGAAATGCTTCCAAGCACAAATAAAAAACAAACATGTATTTATACAGTTATCAAGTTTTACATTATATTATTTAATCCCTTCAAAAGCCTTATGAGGCAGATACTGTACTTCATTTTAAAAATCAAGAAATTAAGAGTAAAATTAAGTATTTAGTAACCTGTCCAATAATCAAATAGTATGACTCCAGAACTAGTGCCCTTAACAACTCCTCCAAAGGAATAGTCTCCAAAACGGAAAGCACAACAGAAGCCAAGGGAGGGTACAAAAAATATAACAATTTTTATTTATACTTATTTTCATATCAAAAATTAGAAATTAAGCTTTAAAATATTCAATAAATGGATCAAAAATGGCCTTATATAAGCCCATGATCCCAAATGGAGGGTATTACGCTAAGTGAATTAAGTCAGAGAAAGACAGATATCGTATGTTTTCACTCATATGTGGAACTTGAGAAACTAAACAGAAGACCATGGGGGAGGGGGGAAAACAGTTACAGAGAGGAAGGCAGGCAAACCATAAGAAACTCTTAAATACAGAGAACAAACTCAGGGTTGATGGTGGAGGGGAGAGGGGAAAATGGGTGATGGGCATTGAGAGGGCACTTGTTGGAATGAGCACTGGGTGTTGTATGTAAGTGATGAATCACGGGAATCTACCCCCAAAACCAGGAGCACACTGTATACACTGTATGTTAGCCAACTTGACAATAAATTATATTAAATTAGTTAATTAAAAAAAAAAAAGATGATTCCATGTCATGTATGGTACTTAAGGTATCCAGGGAGAAAAATATAAAATCCTTAATGTAGAGGGACTGACAAAGACACTCTGCTTACCTGCTGGCTCTTTTTCAGTATATTGTGACATATATGGCAGTTTTTGTGTGCCCAGTTCAGTGCAATTATGGATGTGAATTAGTTTTTATTCACACAACGAATAAGCTGCAGAAGATTCCTACAAGGAAACCGCAGATTAAACAAAATATTAATAATATAAGCACAAAATAAAAATGACAAAGTAATACTTCTGGTGAAGCACTTCGCTAACCCTGTAATATCAGAAAAATACAATCAGATCTGACAATCCATCAAAAAAACCTTAAAACTATCAAGATAGCTATTTGAAAAGTTACATCTCCTCTTGAAAAACCTCTTGCTGTAAGCATGTATCATCCTTAAGACTGACATGATTAACAGTACATTCGTAATTTAAAAGTAAATAAGCAAATATATTGGAAGAAGTGCTGACTGAAGTATGTGACCAAACTATCTGGGAGTCTACTACACTATGCTATCTTTGCTTCTGCATCAAAGCGCTATATAGTTTCTTTAGCTCTGGCATTGTTAAAAGAAGTCAACCCTAGGAATACAGACCGTATTTTCAAAATATATAATGGCTTATGACAATTATAAATTAATGTGTGTAAGGGCGCCTGGGTGGCTCGGTCAGTTAAGCATCAGACTTCAGCTCAAGTCATATCTCACGGTTCATGAGTTCAAGCCCTGCGTCACGCTCTGTGCTGACAGCTCAGAGCCTGGAGCCTGCTTCAGATTCTACGTCTCCCTCTCTCTCTCTGCCCCTCCCCCACGCACACTTGCACACATGCTCTCTCTCTCTCAAAAATAAATATTAAAAAATATTTTAAAAATAAAATAAAAAATGTGTGTAATAATATACTTATTCTTTACAATAGTCAATTAACTATTCAAATATTTTGATTCCAAATAAGAACCTATTCTACATTAGAAAAACTAAAATTTGTCATGTAACAAATATAAAAAGACCTTCTGGTTTGAAATTAATCCATTTACTACTTCAAAAGTTGCAACCTGGGCTCTTTTAAAAGTTTGGTAAGGGTTATGTTTTTATTTAAACAGCTTATTTACGTAAACACTGAAGCTATTGCTAATTTTCTACCACCACTTATTGGAAGATGATAGTTCTGCAAATGAGGTTAATTGTATTGTTATCTGTGAAACCACAGACAGCTCTATATTAACATACATCAGAGTACAAACACACATTCTCCCATATAAATTATAAATTCAGCAACATGTTATGATCCTCTAATATGTCTGAACCAAATGAGACTGTTAGCAACAATCTTACCAAAGAATAGCTTACCAAAAAATATTCTTAACATGGAGGCAAAAAGATAAGCTTTAATTAATACTGTTTTAATACTAAGAAAAATGATCTGAAATAACTTGAATCTTCAGTCATAATATAGTACATGACAATCGTAAAGGATGACCATGCGTTTAAATTCATAAGTATTTCACCCAAAGTCTTTTCTTTAGAATAAAGCTTTATTTTACTATGTTCCCGGCATTATTTTCAGTGCTGAGGCTTCAAATAAATGAACAAAGTAGACAAATATCACTGCCCTCCTAAAATTACAGTATGTGGTACACACACTAAACAAAACAAGGAAGTAAATATACGTTAGACAATAAATACAAAGGAGCAAAAGAAAGCAGTGAATAAAGGGTTGCTGGGGGTGTGCAATTTAAAATAGGGTGGTTAGGGAAAATCTCTCTGAGAGGGAAGCATCTGAGCAAACACCTGGTAAGGGAGACAGCCATGTGTAAACCTAGGGAGAGAACATTTCGGGCAGAATAAATGAAAGTTCCTGAGGTGACAACCTCCAGAAGTGATCATAGCAAGAAGTGTGGGATGGAATGAACAAGACAGAAAGCAACAGATGAGGTTAGAAAATTAATTAGGGTGGGTGATAGGGGGTGAGATGGAACAGGTCACATAGGCCTTTATAGGCTAACACAAGAAATGTAGGTTTTATTCTGAGTGAGCTGGAAAACCACTGAAGAGTTCTGAACACAGAACAGACATTACCTAACTTCTGTTTTAATAGGAACACTCTGGCTACTATTCTGAATAGAGTGAAGGGGAACAAGGTCAAAGGCAAGGAGCCTGCTTGCAAAGCTATCAAAATAATATTGGCAAGAGATCACAGTGGTTTAGACCAGGGTAAAACTAGAGGTGGTGAGAAATGCAGATTCTGAATATACTGTGAAGGAAGTGCCAACAATGTTTTCTGATATAGATTATAAAATAAGGTAAGGAGTTGAGGCTGACTCTAAGTTCTATAGCCTGAGCAACTGAAAACAACAACAACAACAACACAGTTACCATTAACTGAATGAAGTAGGAAAATTTGTGAAAGATGCAGGTTTGGAGAAAGTATCTTCAGTTCAGTTTTACATGTATTAAGTCTGAGATATCTATCAGACATTCAAGCAGAAATGTTAAGTAGAGGGGCACCTGGGTGGCTCAGTCAGTTAAGCATCTGACTTTGGCTCAGGTCATGATCTCACATTCATAGGTTCAAGCCCCATATCAGGCTCTGTGCTGACTGCTCAGAGCCTGGAGGAGCATGCTTCAAATTCTGTGTCTCCTCTCTTTCTGCCCCTCCTCTGCTCACACTCTGCTTCTCTCTCTCTCTTTCTCCCTCTCTCAAAAACAAATAAACATTAAAAAATTTTAAGAAAGAAAGAAAGAAAGAAAGAAAGAAAGAAAGAAAGAAAG